GCCCAGGCATCCACAATCCATTTGCAGATCGTGGCGTAATTCGCCCGGCGTTGCTTCCTTGTCTTGGTGAATGTGTATTATGAATATGAATGTGGGTGGATAAGTTTATTTATTATTTTTTTTATTTCCTATGAGGAGGACTCAAACATACATTGACTAGTAACTTATTTACTGCAGCTTTGTGCACATTTGCTTAAATTTACAGAAACAAAACTTAAAACCACATGACTCAATTGCATAAACTAAAGTGCTGAAAAAACAGCTCGCTCCTTGTGCATCTGTGTATCTTCTGTCGGACTAAAGGACACGACTCAGTGGATTATGTGTGTTCTTTCTGTGACAGAGGATGTGCGGCTGATGGTGAGTCTGTTCTGTTCTTCTATTGCTTTGGAGATGATTCTTGTAAAACTTTTCAGAGATTAGGCTCCTGACTTCAGTAGCCGTAATGCTCTGACAATCCATCAAGCAGTGCAGCTTCGTAGCTTACCAAAGTCGTACTAAAACATTTTGACAGATTTCTGAGCGCCTTGTACCACATAAAATCGGTTTGAGGTCAATAAGCACAACCAGAATTAATACATAAGGCTTTTCAGGATTATAAGGCTCACTGTCGATTTTAAGTGTGCTTTATAGTCTGAAAAAAAATGGTACTTTCCATCTGCAGTCCTTGGGCAGGTGTTAACCCCCTCTACATGGTCCTGGTGTTTTTATTTCACTATTTTGTCTGTAAATAAAGTATAATTTTTAATATGGACTTGGCTCCAGATTCGCTACTCTTGATTTCTCCTGCTGAAATCAGCGCTGTTTGATTCTGATGCATGTCCCTGATTGGCTAATCCACTTGTCAATCACACCCATTTGAAAACAGTGAGATTCACCAGTGACCAGACTCGCATCTTCGTAAAGTATTAGAGAAAGAGCACTACAACAGTTTTAGGGCTCAGTGTTTAGACCATTCATCCATCAACCCAGATGTCAGAGGTTTGAATCCTACTTAGAACAAATTTTATTGCTGCGTCCTTAGGCAAGACACTTCACCCACCTAGTATGAATGTGGCATGTGCATGAGTAAGCTGTGGTCAGAGAGGCAGATGGCACAGATTTGCAGCCTCACTTCTATCAGTAGTTAGAAAAATGACTACAGCAAGTTCATGGCATTTTGTTATTTTTTTTAATTTTAAAAATACGATCCACTCGGGTCCATAGTTCACACAGTCCTGATGATGTATGTGAAGTCTGTTGACAGTTGTGGCGTGGTTCTGATCTGTTGGCGTGAGCAGAGCAGTTTGGGGTAATGCTTCAATAAATCATCATTATGGAGAGATTTCCGTGTATCAGATTACACTGATGAGGATCTGCTGCAGAGTCATGCATTAGAGTTCTATTAAAAGCTCCATGTTTACGCCAAGATCAACCCTGACTGCCATCTCTGTTCTTTTTACCACACAATATCCGATAATCACAGAAAGTCCATCTCTGTCCACATTCAAACTTCTATAATATTAATGTCTGTACCACCTTGTGATGTCATGTGGTAATACAGGTATTGCTCCACTGTGCTTTGAAACTCCATACACCTTCACTAGAATCATTTTAATCAATTCACTCTTGGAATTGCCAATCTCTACTGAACAAAAGGTAACTTCATGACATCACATTGTGGAACAGAGCAGTCTGAGCTTTAGAGTTATAGACAGACTAATAATAAAGTGTTACTCAAACATACGTGAATGAAACAAAACACAACTTGGAGCATGTTTTTGAGTCAATTTTGAGTAATTTAGAAACTTTAAACTGTGGATGAAGGCAAACCACACAACAACTCCCCCTTATGTAACAGATAATACTCCCGACTACTGTACAACAACTTCCCCTTATGTAACGGATAACCCTATGTCCTGTCAATCATCATCATTGTTGCTCTGTCTTCCTATGACCTCTTGTATAAAGCTGAGATTTTATTACTTATTTTTCTATTTTATTTTGACTTTTACATAATACATTTATATATTTATTCCTTATTTGACACCTGTCTCTTGCACTTTTTTGCTGCTTATTTAGATTTTTTTTTATTATCATTTATAGTTTTTACTCTTTGTTATTATATTATATTGTGATGTGTGAACTACTGTGTCCAGATCATTTCCCTTGTGGATCAATAAAGTTTGTCAAAAGCTGAGCATACAACTGTGAGATTTTTGGCCCTTTTTGAGCTGACTTTTCACTTGTGCAACCGTTTTTGGGATTGGGCTAAGTTTTGGCTTAATTTTGTCTTGTGCTTTGTGTAGTAAATATGAGGTAACGATAACCTATTAATACCTCATGAATAGTTCTCGATTGGCAATTGTAGGTTGCAAGAATATCAAACCGGTTTGAAATCCAGTCATCTCTCGTGAGGGTTTTGCACTGTTTAAGTAGTTCGTATAGTGTAAGAACATGAATTGTGAGCTGTGAACTTTTAAACCCTTCAATTTATTCATACAGTTTGAGCTGGGGCTGAGTGAAACGATGGAAAATATTGCAGAGTGCATGTCCGGCATTAGTCTAAGTCTAACCAACACTGTTAACCTTTTAACCTTTGACTATTCTGTGTCTTTTTGTAACTGTTTTGTGTTTTGTATTGTTTTCTGTGTCATCAGTCTATAGGGACAACAGATGGAAATTTGCATTTTTGTTATAATATGGCATATTTACCATGTAATGACAGATGTTTATTAGAGGTCCACCATGTAACTTTTTGGTTGAGAGCCCATCACCTGCTTGTTTCTGTGGATATGTCATTGCTCTGCCTACGTTAAACATCTCTACCATCTGTCTTTCTGAAAGCATGGTCGCCTCTCCACAGATCTGACCTGTAACTTGGTCTGTTTGGTTTGCATGAAGATAAAAAGGTTTAATACCATACTGTGAAACATTCCAGACAATGCTATAACATGTCCATGGAGAAAAGCATATGACAGACAATCCACCAGGAAAGTCACATAAGGCACATTTAATATGCACTCTCCCTATCAAATAAATAAAATAAGATAACTAATTTTGCTGCTCACACATAAAAAAAAAGAAAAGAAAAAAAAAACATCAACATAAAGGACCGAGAAACAGTGCCTTACTTATCACAGGTAAAAGAAGTTATATATTTTGAGGGACGCGTGGTACAAATTAGCTGTAATTCGACTCTCTTAAGTTTGGACATTGGAGCATTTTCAATATTTTCTATTGGTCTGTTCCACTCTCTTCTGGATTTGAACAAAATGTGAAAGGGGCCCTCACTGTCCTATAAGTATGCATAGAGTTTGAAGTGCTGAAGTCATTTTATATCTGTGGAGGATTAAGAAGAGTTTTTGTCCTTGAGAACAGTGGGGGTGACATCAAATCTGTTCACATGCCGTTTTCTGTGCATGGGGTGAACAAGCTGTCTACAGGCACGGCTGATAAAACAATAGCTATCCATCTGTCAAGACAAAATGAACAAAATGAAAAAAGTGAAATGATTTGGTGAACTCTTAAACTTTTGAAACTCTGAAACTATTAGAAAGTATTGTTTATATTTTATGGAGAAATAATCGTCATATTTGAAATACAACAGGCAGATGTTTGACAAGAGGGATGTCTGAGGAGCTCCAAAAATGGCAATGCAATTATAGTGTCTCTTCGTATCTTCATGTTTTTCAACCGTACAAAAAAATCAGACCCTGCTTTCCATATTGCACACTGCCATTGTGTTCTTGAGCAAAACATAGTGCACCTGAAAACTGACATTTATTACATTCAGAATCTGACGATACCTGATATCAACCGATACCAGTGTAGGAAGAGAAAAAGGAGGGAAAAGGCATTTTATTTCCATCAAAACAAAGTTAACTTACAACAAAATAGATCCAGCTATTTTGTTGATCCATCCAGAGTTGTTTATTAAAGTAACTGTATGGATAAGCATTCTAAATCTACATGAATCTGTACGTAGTCTCATTACATCCAATAAAAAGCCCAACAAGGAACCTGCAGTATGCCCAATCCAGATTGAACCCAATGTTCGACACTTGTATTGGTGCATACTTAATTTTGAGGCTCATAATGCCGTAATGATTTATGTATTATTCAGTATTACATTTTATTCATATATTTAAACTACTTTGGATAATATTTTGGACTATAAATTGCTACTGAGTATAAGTTGCACCAGCGAAAAATGCGTAATGAAGAAAAAAACATATATAAGTCACACTTTTTGGGGGAATTTTATTTTATAAAATCAAAGACCAGGAGCTAACATTTCATCTTGAAATGCAAGTTATAGTAATAACAATAGAACAGAACAACAGGCTGTAATTGCAACTTATTACTAACTCTCCATCTCACTCCAAATCACTCAGTCCATTGAATTCTTCATCTTCAGTGTCACTTCTGAGCAACTGCATGACCTCTGGAGGTAAACGGAGCGCTGCTTCCTCTTCTGTGTAATTGTCTTCAGACTCAGTTTCAGTTAGAATTATGCCAGCCTTTCTGAATCCTGACAGGATGGTTTCAGTTGTCACTGAAGTCCAGGCTTTGTCCATCCATCCAATAACTTCCAGGAAAGTTGCATGGCACATTCTCCTAGTTGTCACAAGTTTCTCGTTCACTCCAAACTTTCTTTCTGCTGCTCAGTTACCATTTTTGGCTGCATATTTCACTACTTGCAGTTTGTAATCTACAAAATATGATTTTCTTTTTGAGGCATTTGTGTTCGGTCTTCTTAGTTGTCTTGTTTAATTTGTTTAAATTTTAAATGATACAGAAGAAATGGTGAGATCGACTGACATGATACAGACAGGACAGTGGCTCTTTCTGCAGGAGACATGCTCAGTAGAGTGAAGTGACAGAGGAACAGGAGTAATAGACGCAGACGCAGGAAGCACCCCATAATGAAAAAAAGTGTGACTTATAGTCTGAAAAATACGGTACTTGAGATACTAAAAAGCTTAAATCTCTTTTCTTCTTCTGTCTTGTCTTTTCAGTTGCAGAGGCTGAAGCGCTCCCTCTCCTTTAAGACCATGATGCGCAGTAAGAGCGTGGACAACTTCTTCCAGAGGTCCAACAGCGAAGCGCGCCTGCCCCCGGACTTCATCACGGACCCCCCTCCCCCCTCGCCCCCGCTGGTGCCCGGCTCGCCCCTTCTGGGTGACGCCCGCTCCCCCTCGGTCTCTCCCTCCCTCAGCCCGAACCCCTCCGTGGCCTCTCACTCGCCCTGCCTCAGCCTCTCCCCCTCTCTGCCCGCCAAGCCCGTACGCCCCCAGATCAACCACTGCTTTCAGGACCACGTGTTTCGCAAACCCACCAACTGCCAGCATTGCAAGAACATGATTGTGGGTAAGTTTCACAAAATGTACTAGAAAACAGTGATTGAAACAGGCTATATTGGTTGGTTGGTTTCTGGTTTCTAGAACATGATGATGCCAGATGAGGGGAGAGGGACACTTTTTTTTATAACAACTATTTAAACCAGGGGAGTCCAGACTTTTTTTTTTTTTTTCACTGAGGGCATATTGAAATAATTTTGAAGTAAAGGGCTATAGACCGGTGTCAATCAGTGAGTCATTCAGCTTTGACAGAGCCACACTGTACCTTTTCAGAAGGCTTGGAACAGTCATTTAGGGTTTATATCACAATGTAATGTTATGCTGTTGAGGTAATGGTGGTGAAATTAACATTTTTAGTTCTGCTAATGATCAGTTAAGTCAGTTTAGCAAGAAGCCTGAGGGCCAACAAAAATGTGGTCCCTGGGCCATAGTTTAGACACCCCTGATCTAAAAGGTAAATGTTGAACCTGATCATTTCTGACTAGACTAGACGTGAAAACATGCTATATTACAAAATCTCAAATTTTACAGTTTTCATTTTAACTGCTGTTCATCTTTATCATTATATTATAGTTTAGGTTAAAGGTCTACCTGAGACAGAAGTTTCAGTCCCGCTCCCGCCTGCACCCACAAATAATTGTAATTTTCATTCCCACTTCCACCTGCATCTGCGATATTTTGTTCCTCTCTTGCCCGCATATCCTGCAAGATGGAAACGTTCCCTTTCTTAAGATCTATCAAACACTGAGAAGCGGAAAAGAATTGTCTAAAATGTGCGCAGGATTAAACCATGTCCTCAAATTTAGGCTGCTTAAAATGTTTTTATTAATGCCAAATAAAATATCCAGCACAAATGATGTATGATAGGCGTACATGAATCATTTGTATATTTTTCTTTACACTAGGGATGTAACAATAACATCAATAATAGATAATAACAATAATAGAAATATCGTGATACTGTAAAGTTCTCACAATAATATCATGGACCATCTCCATATATCGAATTACAAGTCTCATTGCTTAAATTAAGAGTGCAGCAATATCTAAAAAAGACAGAGGGAACTACATAGACCATGATCCTTTGCTTCATTTCAGTGTAGACTACATGAAGAAATAACAGTTCTAAGCACTTTTAAATCTTAGTTCTTTGGATTAAGTTTTGTCAAGGCATTTTATGAGGAAAAAATAGCATATTAACAGTTTTGTTAACCTCTACAAAATATCACAATAAAATTTGTACCTAACCTCATCATGAGCCTCCCCAGCATATCATGCGCTTTCCCACAATATTGCAATAAATACCGTATCGTGAGGTTCATACTGTGACGATATCGTATCGTAGACTTGGATATCGTTACACTCCTACTTTACACTCATATTTAGTTAGTCCCGCCTGCTCCCTCATTGTGCAGTCAACACAGGGCTCTAGTGTAGGTGCCATTTTGATCACTTTTCCCATCGCTTGGAAAAGGGCCTCTTCCTCCTTGTTTCCATGGAAATATTGTTCTACAGTATAAAACATATATCTCCATGAAGAATGTGCTGAAATATGGTTTTCACTTTCTGTTTTCATGGAATCATGCAGGTGACCTGCCTCCAGAAAGTTACACAGTGTTGCTTTAAATCAACATATTATTTCACAATTACCTGATCTTAATTAGCATTATAGTTCTTACTTCCCTCTGAACACATCACAATAGGTTTTTCCTTTTCTAGCCTTAAGCTCCTCTTCTCCACCAGCCTCATGTAGCCTCATGTCTCTGAGCTCGGTGCGTATTGACCCAAATGAAGAACCATTTTTAGGAGAGAACATCCCTTATTATGCAAATGTCCATTCGATACACTGTTTTTCTGGAGCGCAGCTTGATTCAGCGTCTGTGACCGCGTGATCCGAAGAAGAGGAAATTTAATTTGAGGTACAGAAATTGCATTTGGACAAATATTACAGCGCGCATAGAAATCTCAAAGGGGTGATGTTATGGAGGGCAAGAAGTGGAACAAGCTGAATTATTCGTTTTGAGACATATTGTGGAGTCTGCAAAACTGTCTGCAGCACAGCAAGTTTGTGAAAGGCTCACACAATCACAGCGGTTCTTTTGGTAAATAAGCTATGGGCGCTATAACTTACTCGTCATGGTGCAATGGTATGAAATGAATCCTAAAGCAGACTATATTTCTATCTATGCCTTGTACACTGAAGTGGGAATAGCAATTTCTTTATTTAATTATAAAGGAAAAAAATCCTTTGTGGTTTAAAGAGGAGGTATTACACTCTATGGGGTAATAATTGCGAACATGCAACATAATTGGATTACTGTGTTCACTTTAATGGTTTTGAAAATGCTATATTCGCCGAACTAACTAGTTTCAGTTTTGCTTTTTATGTTCTGACTCTCCCCTCCCTTTGCTCCCTAAGCTAAGTCACTCCCCCTTCAGAGCACTATCACAACACAAATCAGTGCGCTTTCTGCTATATACTGCACATTGCATCAGGTTTGTGAAGCCGTACTGTGGTGTTTTGTATCATGCGTTTGTATATTTAAGGAAAATTTTGGATAGAATCGTACGGCTAACCGCGTGGAGGGTTCAGGGAAGAGATCGCTAGATTAGTCAAAGACAGAGGTGAGGACTTGCAAGGCTTGACTTGGACTCAAGTCAGACCCGAGTCACTATTTTTCAGGACTTTGAGACTTGACTTGATAAAATGGAGGAAGACTTGGGACTCGACTTGGACTTGAAGGTCAGTGACTTGGGACTTGACTCGGACTCGACGCCCGTGACTTGAGAAGACTTGAGAAACACTTTTAAATCTGAATTCTTTTTATTCTGACTGTAATGATTCACTCTAAGATCTTGTCAAGACATTTCTACAACTCTTACATACTCTATAAATACTCATATATAAATATACTATGATTTTTTTAAGAACTATTTAGTTTTAAAGTCATATAAATTGCAAAAATCTAAGCTGTCTTTGGTACTCTGGTTTAAAGACTTGATATGAATTGAAGCCCAAACCAGACAACTTGGACTTGACTTGGAATTATGGACTAGTGACTCGAGACTCGACTTGGACTTGCCTGCATTTGACTCGGGACTTGACTCGGACTTGAGGTCAAAGACTTGAGAATTACTTGAGACTTTCAAAACAACGACTTGGTCCCACCTCTGCTCAAAGATGTATGGATGACATATAAAATCTCTTCAGGTGTGTTTTTGACGAGGGGACAACATTACACCATGTTAGAAACCTCCACAAAGTCCATTAATGTTGGTGATTTTTTTTTCGGATATATCTCTTCTATAGTTTTATGATCCCAAACTGTATTTTTGCAGCGTACCAGGCTCTATATTTTGGGTTTATGATTAACAATTAGATACAGACTTCCCCAAAGCTGCATCTTTTACAATATAATCTATGGAGGAAAAACAAAATTACACACGCACAAGAATATAATTGAGTTCCCAGGCTTCTTGGGAGTAGCTAAATGAAAAGAAGAAATTGAGACCGCTGCAGTCTTATTACTATCAATTTACCAAAAACAAACAAACAAACAAACAAAAAAAACTCATTTGTATTATTTATAACAGTGATAAAAATGGAAGTGTTGTCTCATTTGAACCATAAAAATCCCAACAGGCTTCACAATCTTGAGCGATTAAACCAATTCCCTTTTTATAAACGAACATAATGGATTTTTGGATTTGCTTCTAACTAGGATTACATGAACCAAAACTGAAATCGCTCTCAAATAACTGACTTTCAGTAGATTAAAGGTCCTATTTTACACAAAGCTGACTCTTGTAAGCTTTAAGCCGTGTCTTTAGTTCAGTAGAGATTTGCAATTCCAGGGCTGAAATGATCCAAATGATTCTCATGAAGGTGTATGGGGTTTAAAAACACAGTGGAGCACTTCTTTTACCACGTGAGATTACAAGGTGGAAGAGAGTGTTAAACATGTGTGAATGAAACAAAACACAACTCAAGTTATGTTTTTGTCAAGGAAACTACATTATAACAGACAGTGTTGGGGAGTAACAGATTACATGTACCGGAATTACGTAATCAGAGTACAAATTATGAGTAACTGTATTCAGTTACAGTTACTGTTTCAGTGAGTGGTAATTAGATTACAGTTACTTTGTTGAAATAAATGGATTACATGACAGTATTTTCCTGTTTTCACATTTTGGGCTATATTCCTTTTTTATTTATTTTTTTATTTTTTATTTCGGTAATTCCACTCATTGCTGGAAACCCAAACAGAACATGCACAATAAGAGCAATGTAAACGTCTTGTTAACGTTGGTGGACGAGGTCATTAATTATCATCGTTAAAAATCTGATTCCGCATCATTTTGAGTAAAAAACATCAAATGTTACTGAATTTTACTGGGCTGAAAGTGATTTTATTTTATTTTTTAAATAAATAATGTGAAACAGTAACAGTAGATGGACATAATTTAAAGCAGCAGTGATCTCATATAAAAATCATTTCTCTATCAATAATATTTTTTAATACGGTTAAGGAAAGACTGGTCTTTTTCTTGTCTTTTAGCACATAAAACTTCTCATGTTCAGATCTTCGTCTTTGCTTCTCTACAGAAAACAAATGCCTCTTCGTGGAGATTTGGACTCAACAGCCAATTTGAAGAGAACAAATAAGAATTTTCAGGATGTGGTTGGTACATTCATGTAGTTTAAAAAGCATGACAATATCAAGTAATCCAAAGTATTCAGATTACATTACTCACCTAAAGTAACTTAATGGATTCCATTACAAACTACATTTTGGGGCATGTAATCTGTAATCTGTAGGGGAATACATTTTAAAAGTAACCTTCCCAACACTGATAACAGATCAGAAAATACTGTAATATGGATGTCATACGGAAAAAAAACTCAGACAGTTCACTAAAAATAGATTGAATTTGCTTAGAAGTGAAAAAAAATGGATTTACTTCATCTGCTCTGACAAAGTGACACAACATCGGAGGCAGGTGATGTGTTATACAAGAGCTCCGTCTGAGTGTATATGAACTAAAACAGGAATGATCAGTCATACAGTCACAAACAGACAAGAGACAGCACAGAAGGGAAATTAACAATGTAAATGTTCAAATAGACCCTCAAGGACGTAGGAAAATGATTAAGATGCAAATTGAAAGCGAAGTATAGAAATGGTATTTTTAGAAACACATAATGTTACCGTCTCTGATAATGGAGACGTGAAATTGCTAAATCAATATCGTGTTAGACAATGGACCCACGAGCTGCAATAAGAGCTGTGTGATTATAGAGCTTGTAATTCTTATAGCAGATACTGTACAAATCATGCGTTGTGTTAGAAATAGAGGTACGAGGTGACGAGTGGTAAGAGTAAACAAATGATAAGGCTAACTAGGTGTGAAACAAGATTTAGACTTATATTTATTATATGATATAGGGCTTTGGTTGGATTTTCTTACTCATGCTAGACAACACTAACAATGTATGTATGTGATTTTCTAGATTCTCAAATTTGCTTTACTATTTTGTGCGTTGTTCATCCCATAATCTGAGGTAGTAGCCCTGTCTGAGATCCAGGATATACACTTCTTCAGTACTTTATCAAGATGTTCTTCGTTCACTGTTGAATCTCCCTGTAATGGAAAAATAAAGGAATAAAATATCACAGCGCCAAGCAATACACTCTTATTCTGTGGGGAAATAGATTTGATATTATTTAAAAAATCATAGGTGCCCAGTGAACTCCTTCATTGCATTGCATCACTGAAAAAAAATGTATTTTTCGGACTATAAGGTGCAGTATTCATAATAAGGTTGAATTTTCATACATAAGGCACACTGGATTGTAAGGCGCATTAAGCAAAACAACAGACAACACTCGAGACTGAAACCTGATCAATTGGCAGATCATGACGTAATTCCCCCGGCACTGCCTCCCTGTCTTGGTGACACTGGTGTATTATGAATGTGAATGTGGGTGGGTCAGTTTAGTTTTTTATTTCCTACGAGGAAGACTCAAATATACATTGAGTAATAATGTGTTTAATGCAGCTTTGTGCACATTTGTTTACGTTTTACAGAAATGAAACTTAAAGCAACATGGTTCATTTGCATAAAATATAAATGCTGAAAAAACATCTCTCCTTGTGCGCTGATCACGACTCAGTGGAATATATGTGTTCTCCATGAGGCTCCTGACTACGGTGGCCAGATTGTTCAGACAATCCATCAAGCGATGTGGCTTCGTAGCTTACCATAGTCGTACTAAAACATTTTGACAGATTTTTGAGCGCCGTACACCACATAAAATCGGTTCGAGGTCAGTAAGCACAACAAGGCACACTGTCGATTTTCAAGAAAAGTAAAGTATTTTAAGTGCACCTTATAGTCTGAAAAATACAGTATCTGATTGCACAATGATGTCTGACTGGACTTAAGACTCAACGGACTGAGTGGTGACCAAACAGATATCAATCTGTAAAAAACAGAGAGATATCATTTTGGATTTACCAGGTATTGTAGATTAAGTAAAAGTTCCCAACTGGTTCAAACTAGACACATACTACTGAAAAAAAGTATTTTTCATCCTTGACATTTTGACCAAAGTAACCTCAGAGTATAAACTCTGTGTAGTCTGTGGAGGAGTGGATCAGAAGAGCAGATTTGCCCCCTGCTGTGCCCTTTGTCTCACTGCTCTTTCATCTCATCTGTGCCACAGGAAACTCCAAACAGGCGCTGCGCTGCAAAACCTGCAAGATGGCCGCTCATCTGTGGTGCACCTCCGATCTCTCACAGCAGCCCTGCTACGGAAAGGTACACGCGCTCTTTAGGAAACAGGAAATGACCAAATAAGGATCTTTAAACGAGCAGGTGTCAACAAGTGTATCATCAGGACCACTGTAACCTGGCAACAACCCAAATAAAATGATCCAGTTATCCAGTTTGAACTTTACTATCCACTTTGTACCTTATTGATACAGTTTAACTATTATTCATACTTTAGATCTGATGTCGTCAACATTCCCTGTAGGCATGTCTGAAGCTCTGTTAGAATTTAATCTGAGCATTTTTAATTACAATCTGACCATAAAGAACTGACTTAGTTGAAACTGCAACCGGTGAGATGAATTGTGCTGTTGAACAGTTACAGTCACAAGCCAGGTACAGGTAATCACTCTCACCATTTTTGTTGAGAATCAATCACCATGAACGCTCATTTTAATCACAGGCTCCTAATTTTTCTTGAGTTTGTTTTAAAACTTTTTTGTCCATGTTTGCTAATGTGTGCATTGTATCTCCATGGTAACTACTGAAAATTCCACCAAAAAACAAACAAAAAAAACAAGAAAACAGCATGATGTCACTGCAAAGTATCAGCTGGTGTATGATCTTTTTAACATTTTTGGCAAAGTAACTGAAAATAGTCCTATGAGTTACTTTTACATTTGTACATTAAAGGCGCACTGCATAACTTTTTCTGGTAAAGGATCCTTTTATCTGGAAAGTTCCACAGTATGGCGTTAAATTAAAATTCAGTGAGGTGTTAATAGTTTTGAAAAATGCTTTGAAATAGACACATTCTTGCAGGGAGCAGGTCCTCTCTCCACAAATCTGACCTGTAACTTGATCTTGGTCACCTTGTCTCTTGGCATATATTTAATGACATACTGTGGAACATTCCAGACAAAACAAACACTCTCCGTGGACAAAGTTGTAGAACCTCAACTAGAAAAGTTTCATACTGCATCTTTTAAAATGCATGATGTTTTTCCTTCCCTCTACTTTATCATCTCACAAATATCTTTAGACTTTGTGATTTTCTTCGCTCATCAAAACCACTCATCTTTCTGTTTTGTTCTGTCAGTAATTTGTGAATAGTTTCTTTGATTTGGAAACATTTTGCTGCGTGGCAATCACTTCAAACCGGCTGTTCTTTTTTTTTTTTTGTTCCTGTTGTGTTTAAAAGAGAAGTCCCAAGGTCTCAAAACAATAGTGAGGACAATTTGAGAAATACAAGTAATAACAACAACACCATTACAGAACAAACTATAATGTAATCTCCCCTTTTGTATCTATTACCACATGACATCACAAGGTGGAACAGAGTGTTTTCAGTTTGAGAGAACAACTCAGCGTAAATATGCAGGGCTTGTGTGTTAAAGTTACATCTATCTTCTATCTTCAAGTTACAGGTCAGATCTATGGAGAGGCAACCCCGCTCACAGTCAGAATGTTTTTCTAGGTCAGGGATGTCAAACTCAAATTCACAGACGGACAAAATTAAAAACTGGGACAAAATCATGGGCCAAACTAAATAGTTATTGAAAAAATTCAGCATCTGCATGTTTTCTCTTCTTTCGAGATATGTAATATTAAACCTTTTCTTTTAAAATAAATGTCTAATGATATTCTTGCTTAAACATTCAATCCAGAACAAGCATAATCTAAAATAATAACAACTTTTTAAATAAATAATGTCTCTATCTGTAGCTTTTGAACTCCTTTTGAATGTTTTTTTTTTTTTTTCCACAAGCCAAAAACCAGTCAAAAATAACAATTTACTTCAATGAAAATCATGAAAATCCAATCTTTTAACCATGAACAGTCAAAAATCATAAAGATCATCCAAGTTTAGTTTACTAGACTGTGATTTACTCTGATGCACATGGGTCCAAAGCAGATACAAGTACTTGGCATCTCTTCTTCGATACAAGTTCATCAAAGTATTAGTATTAGTATAAATAGTAGTAGTATTAGCAGTACATGCGCCATTCTGGTATGGCAGGCGGCGGGTCAGCTCTAATACATATTTGATACGAGCTTGTGAGAAAAATATAAATATATTTCGGGTCAAATTTGGCTCGACATGTCTGTTGTAGGTATTTTTGCGCTATAAAACCATAAAATTGAGCTCATGTAAGGCAGAATTGTTTAATGTCATACTGTGGAACATTCCAGGCAAGGCAATGACATTTCCAAAGGAACAATGTGACGGACCCTCTACCAGAGCAGTTACACAATGCACCTGAATGAAACAAAACGCAACTCCAGGTAGGTTTGTGATGAGGAAACAACATTATAACATAGATCAGAAAAAATGTAATATGGACTCTTCAAAGGTCTGTAAGGCTACGCTCAGACTGCAGCCTGAAGTGATCCTAATCTGATTTTTTGGCCCCTATGTGACCTGTATCTGATCTTTTAATGACAGTCTGAACGACACAGATACGATTTTTTTCAAATGTGACCCAGGCCACTTGGATATGTGCTCCTGAAACCGATACATGTCTGATCTTTTGACATGCAACTTCAGTCTGAACGGCCAAAGCGCATTCATCCCACCCACACGTTATCAACAAGCCACAAACGTCACTATTCTGCACTGAAGTAGGCGAAAATTGTTAATGAAATCCGTGTCACTGAAGCGAAGCACATCTCCACTCACCACTCTTGGCTACGTCTGCGCATCCACACGTTCCTTTCAACGGACGTCGCTGCTACTGCCCCACAAAACAACATGGCCAAAAACCTCGTCCTTCTCCTTCTCAATCTCCTCCTTAAAACAAGTAAGTTGTTCATGTTTTGGCTCTGGTACGAGAGGAACTTTAAAATCTCCAGGTGCTCAATGCTGCAGTCACATTTAATTGGAAATGTGAACGACCTCGCAAAAACATCGGATTTCACAAAAAAATCTGAATTGAGCGTTAAGCCCTGCAGTCTGAACGTAGTCTGTTGGAGGGTCTGACACCTGCTTGTCTCCATGGAGATGTGCCTAGAATGTTCCACAGTATGGCCAATAAATTTCCAAATTACCGTTTAGATTGGTGGAGAGGCAACCCCACTCACAGAGAGAACAGATGTTTTTTTTTAAGATATTTTGGAGCAATATTTACTTCCTGTAGATAAATGAAAGAAAGATTGGACAATTTAAATCAAAGCATTAACATCTCCATGGAAACAAACAGGCTGCGACTAGACCCAGTGCAGCAAAGTGCAAGTTACACAGTGCATCTTTAAAAACAGATGGAACGCGAGCTAATTTCCAGGTCATTTAAGTTACTTCTCTGACGTCAAGATAAGCACCCAAAGTGGCACTGACAAAGAGTGGGTTTGTTCCTCCCTCCCGCTCTGCACCGTGCATTTGAAAGTTTTTTGGCAGCACTTAAACCCCTGCAAATGTCTGATAATGGGGTTACAAAGAGATGTGTCCTTTTTTAGTCAAACTTCAACTGCGTCAGAAGCCATAATTTGTGGTTAGTTGCAGACTTAATTACCCCATAGGCTTTAAGATGAGTTCGGCCTTGTCCAGCTCTGTTCTCCGCTAATGCCCCCTTCAGCTTTTATTATTACATTTGAGCAGAATAATCCGGCGCGAGTTTAGTTTTGACCTCCACGTCCTCCCGTTCCCCTGTAGACGCTTTTAATAAGCCCATCACAAATCCCGCGCAGCAGACAACAGCAGACAGGTGCAATCATGATCACACCTGAGACACGGCAGCAAAGGCTTCTGGGAGTTTTTAGACTGATGTGAAAAGAGGAGCTAAAAATCGGATGTGTATTTTAATATTCATGAATGCAAATAACTCACGTAAACAGGTGCATTTGTCAAAAAGGTGTGGACTGCCGCGCTATGGCGTTAAATGTGTCTATTTCCATGGAGACGAGCGGGAAAAGTCAGATCTGTGGAGAGATGCAAGCAGTTAGAACACGTTTTTGAGCAATAATAAGACTTGTAATTCAAAAACTGTAAGATATGAATTTAATGCTATGCTGTGGCAAATTCCAGACAAAGCAATGTTATCTTTACAGAAAAAAAGTGGCAGACACTCCATTAAATCTACATGGTGCATCTTAATTGTATGTATTTATTGGTCAGACAAAATTGGCAGTGATTATAATAACATTTCTACTATTTGCTCTCACCTTTTTGGTGAAAATCAAACGCCTAAAAAGACATGAACACTCAGCTTGATCACAGGCTCCTGAAGATGTGTTTGTTTCTCGGGGTGGGACTTAATTAATTAATTACAGGCTTTGTAATGAATTAATCTCAATTACTCGCATAACAATATTGCCCCAAAAGCAACATTTATTTTATGTAAATGAATTTTAGTGGACTAATTTTCTCTCTGAAGCCAGTCATTTGATTGAGTATGGGCTGCTGATTCCTCTCGTTTGTACTCGGACCAGAACTGCTCCCGCCAACAGCAGTTTCTCTGCTCGCTGTCAGATGTTTTGCATTTAAATGGTATCGTAGGGTTGAGGTGCTTCTGTGAGATGCAAACTCTTTTCTGCACAGTTTGCAATAAACAATGCCTTTGTCAATACTTCCATCGGGTCGTTTTTTTAATAGAAATTTACCGTCTAACAGACCCAGAGCACTTTCATACTCCATTACTGTAGCACTGATCTATTGTTGCAGTTGGAACTGTGTGTGTCAGTATAACTGCTGGACCACAACATGGTGCACTGACAAAAGTTCTGCATTGTTTGGCATGCAAAATGTGATAAAATGCGTTCATATTTTTAATGCATTATTTTCTTTGTAATTAATTAATCATACGTAAGTAAGTTTTTATTTATATAGTGCTTTTCACAGACATTTGTCACAAAGACGCTTTTACAGATAATTATTCATTCATTCCATACCTGGTGGGAGTAAGATGCTATTGTAGCCATAGCTGTCCTGGGGCACACTGATGGAAGCGTGGCTGCCAATCTGCACCATCAACCCCTCCGACCACCACCATCACTCACGCACACGCCACTTTCATACTAGGCAATGTGGATGAAGTACCTTGCCTAAGAACACA